CCCCCCCCCGCAGGTATCCTCATCTCAGCCCGCTGAACAAAGAGTCCTTTGACGTGGGCGCTGACATTTTTGCAAAGTTCTCTGCTTTCATCAAGAACAGCCCAAATAACGCCTGTAAGACGGGTTTCTGTTCATTCATTCAACCCCTCACCTCTCATGGTGTTTTCACTTTTTATTTCTGATGTGGCATAAAAACATTTATCAAAGCAAGTGAATAACTCCTGTACATTTATGAAGTGACTATTTGCATTTTCAGATTTGATAGAATTCATGAATAGACTCATGGTGTTTTGATACTGACAAACAATTTCACACATTAAGTAATTGGCTTCACCTTATAATATAAAAAAGCTGCTCATATGTAAATACAATCCAATAAGTAAATAAATAATAGTTATAATTCTCTCTGGGACTATCTTACTTGGAACAGTAAATGTACTCAATGCTAATGATACTTTTATTAAAATAAATGCTAAATATTCCACCATCAACCAGTAACTTCATGCACACTATTCCTCCTGAGGTGTAGAAGTAAGTGTCATAAAATGAAAATACACAAGTAAAGTGCAGCTGCCTACAGAACATGCTCTTACAGTGAGTATAGCTGAGTAAATGTACTTAGTTCATTTCCACCATTTTCTGTTTCTGATCGTCCAGTGCAGGAGAAAAATCTGCTGCGGGAGTTTACACGTCTGGATAATTACCTGAACTCGCCCCTCCCAGAGGAAATCGACCACAACTCCAGAGAAACAGTCACCGTCTCCAAGAGAAGGTTCCTGGATGGCGACCGCCTCACCTTAGCCGACTGCAACCTGCTGCCCAAACTGCATGTTATCAGGGTGAGACACTGTTCCGCTGTTCTCCTTGTTTCCGTTAATCCCTGTTCCTTGCTGTTCTTTATAAAAAATCTTGCGACACAGAAAGGGGGACTATATGCTCCACACGTATAGCAACATTTTAAACACAGAGGCAAAGCACAGAGGCATTAGTAAAACAAATATAACGATAAGGACATTCAGAAGACCTTTAACTTTCTGACATGTTTTCATTTTAACAACTGATCAAGGCCCAAAAAAATACAATTATCCTGTATTAATAAGAAAAGACTGTTTGGAATTAGACTAATGTGTATTATGAACATTACTTGCTTGTAAAACTATTCTCCTAGCGCTCCAAATACAGATTATCTGCCTGTAAATGAACACAACAGCACTTTGAACCTCTCTGAACTTTATGCACCTGGTTTAATATGTGTTTCTTAAATATGCTTAAATTTGATCTTCCTTTATTCTCATTGATTTCAAGTGGTGGAATTTGATCTTCCTTTATTTCCATTGAATCCAGGTTGCTGCCAAGAAGTATTGCGACTTTGACATTCCCGCCCAGTTCACAGGTGTGTGGCGATACCTTCAAAACGCCTACGAGAGAGAGGAGTTCAAACAGACTTGTCCGGCCAACATCGAAATCGAGAAGGCTTACTTAACCGTGGCCAACAAGAGGAAATAAACGTTTTCTTTGACTCTCTGTAATTCATGTCCTGTTTTTCCCAAGTGTAACCGTGCATTCTGATCTGTAGAGGACGCTACAACCTCCAAAAGTAAACTGTGGCAATCAACAGACAGTACTGACCTGTTGTTGAGCAAAATGTTTTATGGGTTTTATGTATTAAATATTTATCTGTAGTCGCCCACAGATAAATGGTATTTTTATGCCACGTTGAAAAGGCCAATTGTGCAATTGACTGTTGATGTAACTTAGAATTTTTGTTTATAGTGTAAATATATATATTTTCAATACTTTTAATGATCAAGACACCCTCCATGAAATGTATATGATTATGTTAGATTGAGCAGCACCTTCACAAATGGAACATTTTTATATTAAACATCATATAAACCTTTTTATCTTATTCTGTATAATGAAAGTTTGCAATTGTGTCACTGTCACAATGATTAAAAAACACCAATCATCATTTGTGTTGATTTTTTGTGTGTGTGCTGACACGTGCTATAACGCTGCTTTGTGAAATGAAGAAATAATGCATGTAATTTTTCTTCTTTAGTTCTTAAGCAACATATATTACAGACATCTTAAACTTTAAATGTCAAAAACAAGCCACAGAAGCAACACATCTGATATTCAAGTTTAATTTCAGCCACAAAAAAACACACTTCTTTAAAAATATATTTTCTCATGATCAAGTTCATGTGATGGATTTGACGTTTGGAGGAAAAAAGAACAGGTGATGGAGGGTGACGTTGTTTCCGTCCTGGTCTTTGCAAAATCACACCAAACGTCCTGCGGCTGCTGAGCTCTAGTTGGTGACGCAGTATTTCCAGAAACACGCTGTCAGAAAATCAAAGGGTGAAAAGTTAGGAACAGCTGGAGACGGATGAAATCCCTTCTTGCACTTATTTTATATATTCATCTTTATCATTATACAAATCTGTTCTATGTCTGCCTCTCCTCCTTTGCTTTTTTCCTTCATTTGTTTTTGTTTATAGTTTGTCTTTATTCCAGTCAAGGTTTGAAGAGTGAGTGAAAATCCTGAAGGCCTTTAAAGGAAGGTCTGTGATTTAGGTTATTCATTATTCACTCCTGTTAACTTATCAGAAGTCATATTTCAGTGTGCTGGCACCTCTACTGTTCTATATTTTAAAAAACTTTACTGCAAGTCTACTTGTATTTTTCTCTGAAGAGCCCATTTAACAATTTCTCTTTCAGTGAGGATTTTGCAGTGGTTACTTTTTTCTTTTAGTTTTGTACTGCAGTTTCACCTCTCTACTTCTACCTTCATCACTGATGGTTAACCAGGATCAGAAACTCACCTCTTTTGTTCGTTTTTGGCAAATTCTGCTCAGATCTGAGAAAACCCTGAGAGCGAAGCTTGTCGGCCGCCGCTAGCTTCAACACGGCTTCTTTGAGGTCCTCCACCTGAAAGTGAGAGAAGTGTTTGTACAGGTGTAAGGTTTGATCACATGATCACTGCATTAGCTCTGTGCTAGCAACAGTTTATTTTAGTGTCACTTTTAACTTTTACTTTGTTCGCTCCCAATAATGTCTGATATTATTATACATTTTTTCTTTTGATTTTTGTGATGTGTTTTTTCCTCTTTTCTTTGTGGCACTTTGTAGCTGTACTTTGAATATACATTTATACATGTCTTGTTTTAAGAACATTATCAGCCTTACCATATTAGCAAACCTGTCTTGTGGAGCTGAATCTTTATTCCCTGAAGGGAAAATGAAATAAAATATTGTTATTTTGAAAATCATATTAAACTCATTTAAAAATGATGATAATTTATACCTTTATTCCAGGAGTCTCTACCTTCATTGTGCTGCATTAGCAGAGGGTACATGTTATTAACTTCTCTCTGCTCCCCATCAGCAGTGTTTGGCCCGTCCTCGACCTCTGACACTAATTTCTGAATGAAATCTGTTTGAAATAAAAAAACTAATTCTGTCACTAGGACGTCAACATCCCTCCGGTGAGTTCAGCAGATATTTTTAGAAAATAGATTTTGGGAGTTAATCAACATCAAGATAAAACTACAATCAATCAGTCTCGAGGGAATCAAATGAACAACATTTCGCTGAGTTCACAGTAAATTAAATCAAGTTATTCAGCACAAGAGGAAGAAAACAGTTCAGTCTCACCTGCCTGTGGCTCCAGGTTGGTATCAGGGTACAGTGGTAGAGCTTGTGTCCGTCTGGCAGAACAAATCACAGCCAGGAGGTAAAACAAAGTCAGAGAAATCATGGTGCCTCTGTCTGCGAAGAGTCAGTTTTGGACGATACCTCAGCCCGACTGAGAACTTCACTTATATACCCTCAGAGGCCATCCATCACAATCTGATCAATACATTATCATCACACCCAGTCTCCGTCTTAATGGTTCGGACACGATGGATCAGGCGTCATAGATGCAATTTAGGAGACCCTGTCAATTCAGCAGGAGCCTATCTGTGCTTGTACAGAGCGGCCTAACAAATGTTTGCTCTGCAGCAGTAATCAGCGGCTGTCCACAAAAGCTCTGATGCTTTTTGTCTGACACCATTTCTGTTCAAACGTCTCATTGCTCATGTCTGAGGTCACAGAGCCGCTGGAAGTTTGTTACCGCGGGTTTCTGCGTCATTTGGAGTGATTCACTCTTCTCACGTAATCATTGCGACAGTCTGTGGATGACATTAATCTGAAGTTAAAGGTAAAAACCATCAACATATATTTCTTGTTTTAGGATCAAATGTTCTGATGTTTGCAGACCAAAATAGTTCAATATCGACAATAAAGCTGTTTCAATATATGTCTCTCTCCATTTTTACATTAACTCAACGCTTTCATCCAAAGGGACCTACAACTGAGGGTTACACATAATTGGTCATAAACTAAATGGTACAAAACTCTAAAAGACAAAAAGTAGTCCGAGCTGAAGCTTGTTCCATGAGGCTTTCAATCAAACTGAGAGGTGACTGATGCTCCTCAGAGGAGCAGCCGGCGTCAGGTGATTTATTCGTCTGTCTCCACATCTCTGATGTTGCTGCTGAAAACAACAGCGTTTGATGCATGTGGCTGCTGAGCAGTCGGTGAGAGGAGGGAGCAACACACCAGTGATTGGATTTAAGGTCAAACAGTGACTTAAAAACTGAAACTAAACTAAAAAATGTTATTGGCCATGTTTTTGTCTTTATTTATTTGTTTATGTGTTTTTAAATAGCAGAATTATGCAAATATCAAATGGAAAAGTTTTATAAAACTTGGTGGAATATTGTGATCAGTGAACAAACCATTCAATTTGCAAATTCTGATCAGGGAGTGGATCCGGGAATTCTTTTTCACTATTCTTAACATTGAGAAATAAGATGTTTTTCAACCTTTCATTGAATTCCCAGGAAATAATTCATGGATCTTGAGGAAAAAAATCTGACACATTTAGGGAGCTAATATCTATGAGTGTGTGAAATTTAGTGCAGCTTGATTGAAGGTGACTGTTGGGCCTTGGCAATAGTATGCACTCAACTCTAGTTTTATATATAAATATTTGAATATCATACATATATTAGATTGCTGTATGGTATAAAGATCTTATGCAAATAAAATGTGCTTTTTAAACCACAGAAACCAATGTTATTGCTGAATAACAAACCAGTCAATAAAGTTTTTATTTCAATAAGGTACAGAGAACACGTAGGGTCAATATTTATGTTTGACTGGCTTGATAGATAAGATTCTTTTTCTTCTTAAGAGCATTTTTTTGGGCTTTTATTACATTGATAAATGCAAATGAACACTGTAGGAGTGAGCTATGTCCAGCAGGTGGCAGCAGTGCTGACATGGAAGCGTGGTTTACAGGTCAACAGCAAAAACTTTGCTAAAGAAACTGGAAATAAAACAAAATCAGCCACTGGGATTATTTTGTGGGGCTGTTGAGACTTCTCCAAGTGTAGTAGTCCAAGTGGAGATGGGAGGAATGCTGCTGAAACAACTCATGCTAAACTGGACAACCCTACAAGGACACAAGGAAGAAGATCAACTGTGAGGATTAGAGGAAGTGTTGAAGAGTGTTAGAGTTAAATGGCAAAAGAGATGAGGTAACATGATGAAAAACACATGTGTGCAACAGTTCCTCTCCCCCTGTATTACCAGATATTTACATTCAAGATCAGGTTATAAGGACATAATACACTGTCCACCCAAAATACAGATGTGTAAGAGTGGAACGACTGGGTTTGTTGTCACTGATTGACATATAAATATAAAGGATTGAACACCAGGTCATCTAACAGTATATACAGTTGAGACGTTGGCAATAGCAATGGCAGAACGAGATTAAAAAGGTTAGTAGTTGTTAGTTTAGTGGTGAAGCTGCATGTTGCAGCTGAATACCCCTCACTCCACCCTCCCCTTCCAAACATGACAGAGAAGCTGTGGCAGCCTCCGTAGAGAAGACGCACTCCCGATGTATTTCAATATAAAGAGCCAATTCAAGGGTGAAGAAAACAACTATTTTTACAATTTAGATGAAACACACTAGTTAAAACTTTACCAGGATTATTATTATTATTATTATTATACACGTTAATATTCCTCACTGAATTTAAGGTTTCAGTTTTTGTTTTGTTGTCCCACTCCAGCACACTAGGTGGCGGTAGTGCACCTTAAACGTTAGGTACCATATTAGAAAACAGAAGAAGACAAAGAGGAAGTTAGGAAATATGAGGAAGTAGTAAAACTTGCAGTTGTTGTGAATCATGATCCTGTGGAGGTGATCATTAACAGCGGGGCTGACAGGTGGAGCAGCAGCACGACAGAGTCTACTGAGCTAGGTACAGTAACACTTCTCTCTTCTTCTTTCTGTCTTCCTGAGCCACGGCTCACAGACCGAGCAGGAAGCTATCTGTTAGCCGCACGCTCAGCGGCTCAACCTGAAACCCTCAGTGCTGGAGAAGTTTCTCAGCCTCCGGAGCTCAGACACGGGACGTCGACGAGAACAGCCGGAGGGAACGCGGATGTTGGCGACGTGTCACCGAAACTCTCCGCGTTAGATGTGATGGGATGTTAGCATTTGTACAAACTAGCGCCTGGAGCTCAGTGGAGGAATGTTGTGTATCAAGTGGAGCTGCTTCAACCAGTCGATTCACAACTACTGCGGTCTCCTTCTTTTTATGAACGAAAAGCGTCAAACATTCACCTCCTCAAATGTGAATGGTTTCTGGTTTCTGTGGCCTTTTGTATCAATTATAACTAATATGAACATTGTATTAATGTATATACGTATGAATACAGAATTAGATAAACATGTAAAAACAAACTTTTGAGACATGGCATCTCAGCTTTGATTAGATTGCTGCCAAACATATGAGTGACTAAAAAGCGAATCAATCACAGCCCATAAATCAAAATGTATTATTAAAGAATCATGCTGCAGCATTAGCTAGTCTTAGGAAGTCTCTCAGAATTTAAAAATCCAAAATAAATTGACATCTATTAACCGTTCCAGCTAAACATTACAGTTAAACAAGCAAAACACGTTGTGAACTTGGTGTCATTGAGCTGCAGAGTTGAAAGACAGCCAGCTTTTAATGTCTGCTCTGTAATGCAGGGTTTGTCGGGTGGTTATGTTGTTGGGTTTTAATTGGAGGTACAGTTGTGTCATCAGTGTAGTCAATACAAATAACAGCCACAATAATGTGTTTTTGTATTTCTCTAGTGTCTGCTGCCAAAATGGTGTCGGAAGGAAGCTCCTTCATGAAGGGGATGGCCATGGGAGGCATCTTCTGCTTGGTTCTATCGCTCCTGGGCAGTTTCAGCCACGGACCAAAGTCCAGCACAGAGGAACACCACCATCATCATCACGTCAAGGCAGCGAGTAAAGACGAGTTGAAAGAGCTCTCTGACGCTCAGATGCAGGAGTTGAGCAAACAAGTCCAGGTTTATTGCATCGTCATGGTCCAGCCGAAGCTGCTTGTTTATTGGGCGGCAGCGCTGGATACCTGGAGCAAACACTGTGACAAGCCTGTGTTTTACACCTCAGAGGCCTCAAAGGCACTTGATGCAGTAGACCTGAATGAAAAAGACGACTGGACGAGGTTACGTAAAGCTCTGAAGCATGCTTATGAGAACGCTGGAGACCTGCGCTGGTTCTTTTTGGCACAACCCACCACGTTTGCCATCATCGAGAATCTCAAATACCTGGTGCTCACGAAGGATCCCAGCGAACCCTTCTACCTGGGCAACGTTATGAAGTCAGGGGAGCTGGAGTATGTGGACTATGAGAGTGGCATTGTTCTCAGCTATGAAGCTCTGAAAAGGCTGGTGCATGTGTTTCAGGATGAAGACAAATGTCCTGAGAGAGGACGAGCCCTGTGGAAGCTGAATGAGGACAAGCAGCTGGCAGTGTGTCTCAAATACACAGGTGTGTTTGCAGAGAATGGAGAAGACACATATGGGAAGGGCTTGTTCAACAGCAAGAGCGTCCACACCCTTATCTCAGACAGCATGAAGGAGAACCCTAATAACGTGGTGGGTGGCTGTTGCTCCGACATGGCAGTCACATTCACTGGGATGTCACCAGGTCAGATGCAGGTTATGATGTTCGGGGTTTACAGACTCCGTCCTTACGGCCACGATTTCCATGACGCATTAGCCTTTTACCCTCCTGAAGGTTCAGACAATGACTAGAGACTCATTCCTTGAAACTGGATATGGCTTTTTAATTCTATTTTTTGTCAACAATGATGCAAAGCTGTGTTTGGGGAGGTTTTCCTTATGCTGTTGGTAAAACTTGATTCTGAGTTGGAACAACTCTTTTATGTATATTTGTACCTTTTGCACTTGGCACAATCAGCACCCCATTCCTTTATGGTGTAGGTAAACAGTCGATGGGTGTGTCGTCCTTTTGAATGAAGATAGAACTGGGAGATATAGCAAATATGTGATAATGAGATAAATTATCTGGAAGTATGGGGTATTGTCATTTGTTATGTATCTAAAATGTTTGTCTTTTTGTCGTCTTAAAGCTGCATTAGTTGTTAAATAACACTGTTTTGACATTATTTAATTGTTTTAAGTGCTTGGCTCTCTGTGAGAATACAAACTCAAACTTTAACTGAAACATCAACAGTCAATATTATATCAAACATGCCGGAGCCCCGCACCAATTAATAGTGAAGTTTATTTTTCTTAACATGGTATGCTTAGTTGTATCCACATATGAAGAACTTTACAGCTAAATTACCAGTCAATAGACAGTGTGACTGTTTCACTGACATTTCAACACATGACTTCAGACATATGACTCGTTTTTTTAGTAGAAGTAAACAAAATCAATCACTTATTGAACTTAACGTAGCTTTGTGGTGTTGACCGTTATAGGGTGGGAATGATGTTTTTCATGGACTCTGAACAAACATGGCTACCTTTTTATATTCTGCCTAATTACCAGTGGTAGTAGTGGATTGCCAGATTGCAGTGGTGGATGTAATTAAGTACATTAACAATTATATATTAAGTATTTCTACTTAGTTTCCTGACAACAAAGTGATAGTATCAATTAGTATAATACACTCTGAAACAAGTTTTTCCACATCATGAATAATTTTTTATTTGTGACTTGAATTTGTATGCAGGACTAATAAAGTATTAAATGTGATTTAAGTATTTTTAGATTCAAGTATCTTGAGTTCTTCCACCACTGGTTATAGCCTCACATGTAGTTTATGTAAATGGTTTAATGGAAGGTTCTTTTGGAAACCCTATTCAAATATGCATGTTTAATTTAATCAAAGGTTAATAACACTACCGACTGTAAGGGCTCATTGATATAAAGGGGATGGACAAAATATTAGAAACTTGTCTTGAGTAAAGCACATCGCAAGTACAAGCCACAACAGCTCAAAAACTAATAGTTTAATTAACATATCTTTCACATTATTATAGGTTTTGTTGTAGGAAAGTTGTATTTCACTCCAATAGTGAATGTTCCAATAAACTGGCAAATGAGTGTTAATTGAAGAGCACTGAAAACCAGTTTAACCTGAAAGGAGTGTCATTGTGGAACTGTAAAGCAGAACAGAACAGGTTTAACATGCCAAGACCACTTCTTCAGTTAGTAAGTAAACGCTCTCACATCCTGCATTGCCTGACTGTTGACTATGGCACAACTTAATAATATATTTGACTTCTTTGTCATGTGTATGGTTGGATTCAGATTCTAAAATCACAGGCAACACAATAACATGAGCATCTTTAATTGGATCCAATGCAATTTTTTTGTGCAGAATGGCGATTGATTCAAAGCCTCCAGCAGGTTACACGGCTGAGTCCATAGGTGTAAACAGGTGACTGGCTGCTCATGCCTCACTGTCAAGAGCATCATGGTTTCCGGGGGAGGGAGGGCTTGTGTGTGTTGATGTCATCATTTATATGTCTTCATGTGCCACAGTCCATCATTCAGATAGTGAACGTTCTCAATTCCAATTCCCTTGTTGACTTTTTCTCTGGATATGTGGATAAAAACAAAGATTAATATTGTGCATCACACAAGCAGCAAAGAAAATACTGAGTCTATAAAATGCTCCAAAGTCTCACATGTTTTCTGCAGACATCTTCATAACGCCAACACAGAGTGCATGTTGTTTACCCTCAGCCATAATGGCCTGCGTCCACTGGTTAAAGAAAAACTTTCAATGAAGTTGGTCACAGTTTTTTTCTAACTTTGGGTCCCATAACAAAATCAATGAATGAATATATCTAATTGGACTAAGGGAAACAATGATTTGCCATTTTATCAGTTGATTACTAAAAACAATTGTTGTCAGACATCAATAATGACTAAAATACTGGTTTTGACCTTACACTATTGTAGCATTACACAAGACTCAAGTTTACAACAAGCGACAAGGAGTCTCTTTTTGACAAAATACTAAAATGATGAGGAATGGAAGACCCACTCAATTGATACTGTAATTCAGTGTTGCAACAAATCTGTAATAGATTAAATTACATTGACAGAAAAAGGGGTAAAATGGAATAAACTAGGGGCTTCTGGGGTTCCATGTGCAGCATCATGTACCAAAGGATACAACTACTGTCTTGGCTTCAGAAGGGTAGAGCTTAGCGCCTGGTGATGTCAGCCCGGGGCACATGATGTTGGCACCACTTAAGACAAATTTAATGGCTCCTTTGTCTACTTGCTGGTGTGGAAGAATGAAAGGATCTATGAAATGAGAAAAAGGGGTTTGTGAGTGTGACAATCTTAAAATGTAAAAGTTAACAAGTTGGCATTTGAAGAATTTACATTTATGCAACAGTCTGAGGGTCGGGTAGAATGGTCCTTCTCTCTGTCTGAAGAAAAGCAGCTCTCCATTCACTGTCAGGATTTCAATGTGCTCATGGCTGGAAGAGAAAAAAAATAAAGAAATCTACATCATTCACTGAAAAAAAGAAATCACGTATGAAACACCGATGAGAAAAACGGTCAGTCTTACCATCTCACTATTTTCACTGGGTCCTTTTTGGGCATTATGTGATTGAGCCATGACTCGATATCAGGAAACTGTATCAACAGCTGCTTTTTGATATCTTTGATCACTGACGTTTTCAACTGGATGCAGTTCGACACATTCTCCTTCTCATCAAATCTGAAACACAGGCCAGGACACGTGAGGTAAAGCCCATGACAATATCAACACCTGTGTGTTTACTCTTTTTTGTCTATTAGGATTCATTTTGCATTACACTGCATTCAATTGAGGAATACACCAATTGGTAATTTCTGATTTTACATTAAAATAAAACTCAATAAGCTTAAAGCATCACCACTAACACAGGTGATCAGACCTGCTCAGCTCTGCTAATATTGTAATAAATACTTAAAAACAATAAATGTATTAGTTAAAACATACTATAAGATAACAATATAAACACTAACACATCATCTTTGGTAACAATGGAGGCTCCATGATTTAACTTTTTACTGCAAAATTCTCCCATCCCTGAGCAAATACAGTGTTGAACATGAAACTTGAATTTGAGGAATTTTCTCCAACTGTGGTTGTGACACTTTCCTTGAAGTAAAAGCTGTGAATACTGTGATGTAATGAATGACTTCTGACAGGGAGGGTGAGGAGTGTCAGTCAGTGATCGTGAATTTAAGGAGCTATATGAACCTCCGCTGGTGTGAACAGGTTTCTCTATGTTTCCTGATGTCTCTGGATTATACGACACAATTCAGATTTTACCACGCAAGTCGGTGTTGAATGACACAGACACGACCAGTTTCATATCTGGTCCAGATCTAATTCAATAACAGAGGATTGGAATAGAGAGAACTACTCGTGTCCACTTCTCTAATCAACTTCTGTCAGAATCTAAATCAGGCTCAAAAACACGACTTCTGATCAGTTAGCATTAGCCACCTAGCCGCGTCTAGCTAGCGCTGTAAGGTGGACATAACCAGCAACGTACTTTTTAAACATCCTCGTTCTTCACCGTGACCGTTTTCTTCAAATGTGACAGAGCTTGTCCGCGGGTGCTGTGTCAGACTGGACGCGATGAACACGAGCAACCAGAGAAAGTGAATGTCCTCCACTCAGACGAGCTAAAGCTGATCCACGCCTGTTCAACGGACGAGGGCCAGCATCCGTGTGACCACTGCGTCATTTTACGACAGTTTGCAGCGTGACACGGCAGATCCAAACATTCAGTTCCAGATGATAAAGGAAATAAATAAATATAAAAAGTCGATCATAGTTCACGTGGCACAGCCTCTCAGGTCATGTCAACGTTCCCCATAGTCATTATATTAGTTTTATTTAAACGTAACTATTCAGGAACCTACAGCCAAGGGTAAAGATAAAGTACAATAATAAACATTAAATCGATATCAAATGTGTACATATAAATAGAAAAATAAAATGTAAAGAAAGACACGTCACAAAGTTCCAAGAGATTTTAGTTGCTTTCGTGATATGTGATTATGAGGTGTATTTTATGATCTAATTTTAGATTACGACACCTACTTTATAGATTAGAGTCTGATTATGATGAGTTTATTTTATTTTAATGTGTGATTATGATGTGAATTTTACATTTTAATTAGATAACCGGAGAAATCCACTTGTTTTAGCAGCAGAGTTTCAAATGACGTCAGACGACAAGAGAACATGTGAGTATAAAATAGAATAAAATAGGCAAGAAAAATAAAGAAAATTAAATGGAAATACAGAGAGAATGTACATAATACACACCTTCCACTACAGATGGTAATGATATTTGCAGAGACACATGCTCAGGTAAAGTGCAGTATATATATATATATATATATATATATATTTATTTATATTGGTATAATTTCACTAAATAGTTGTACACTATACATCACATAACTATATAGTTATAAATACATAATAAATATCTGACTATATAGCTACAAATTGAAAATATATATATTATACCAGTATATAGTTATAACTTTAACGTGTATTTGAGTTTTTTATAAACTTTTACTTGCTTCTCTGTTTTTAAAACTTATGTTGAGTGTCCTTGAGCTTTGATCAAAGCGTTAAACAGATTAAATGTTGTATCATTATTATTATTATTATCTCGTGTTTGGATTTGTGGTAAATTCACTGGTCGAAAACCTTAAACACGACGTTGTTCTAGCGCCACCTTGTGTCCAGAGCAGGTGCAGCACAGGAGTCGGTTGAAGAAGGAAAAAAAAAAACACGCTTGTGCAAAAAAGTACTTTTGTACAAAGTACTTCCGGTGAGGTCACGGATCAGCTTCTCATGAGCCTCCTCTCCTCGTGTTTACTTGCGGGTGTTTCAGCGGCGGTGTGCGGGTCTTTCTCTGCGGCAGCTTCGTTTAACGTGTGAAGAAGAAGAATAGCGTGAAACGGCCGCTCGAGCTGAAGCGCTCCCGCTGAACGAGTCCACAACGCGCGGAGAGCACAGAGGCGAGAAGAGGAAGCAGTAGCCGACCATCTTTCTTCTGCTGCCAGCAATAACAAGAAAGAGAGCGGAGCTAGCTCCAAGTGGAGCCGAGGACTTTACTGTCTCGTCTCATCCGGACTCACGAGTCTACCCCCCCCCCAGGGCTGCGGTGCTTTCACGCCCCCGGACACCGAGCTCCTCTTCCACCCTCCGGCGAGCCTGGAAGTTTCGGATCAAGAAGACTGGCTGCTAAGAATCAGAATTCCCGTTTTTTCATGTTTCCAACAGGTTTATCTTCCCCTAACCCCCCACCACCGCCAACCCAGGAGGCAAGACCCGCGGCCACTGATGTCAAGGCGGACAGCGGCAACATCACATCTCCGAAGAAGAGGAAAATAAACGGCTCCGAGAGGGAAGAGGCTGCTGACACCATCTCCCCTTCTCCTCCAAAGACCCTGAATTCCTCCTCCTCCTCTTCCTCCTGCTGCTCTCCCACTGCGCTGCACATCCAGAAGAAGTTGAGGTTTGAGGATTCAGTGGATTTCATTGGTCTGGATGTGAAAATGGCTGAGGAGGCTGCTGCTGCCGCCGCCGCCGCCGCTTCATGCTCCAATAACAAAAGCAAAGCCGGGTTCCTGCCCGGTGGAGCGGGGCACCACGCGAACGGACTGACCAAAAGCACCGGCTCCGGCACCTTCTCCAACAGTAAACCCGGCGCTGCCAAGAAACTAGTCATCAAGAACTTCAAAGGTAGCAGATCCACTGTGGACGATGGGCTTCAGTCCCCAAAACAACGACAACCATACACAACTGTTCACAAGTTTAAAATATCTCTCATCACAAGTCACATCTGGATCTTTGACTTGAGAGTTGGTTTGTTGTTGTTGAATGAATAATTTAGAGAGTTTAGATGAGTGGAGCAATCACCAGTATTACTGAGAATTAAGGCTGGGGATTAGAACAATATCAATATTTACTGCAATAAGATTTTCCTCAATATAACAAAGGTGCATTATATATTGATATATATCTTATGCCTCATATATACAGTGAGGTGTAATGTATATTTTGCAAAATGTTGAGCAGTTTTTCAAGTGTTTGTCATTCCCAGTTTATAATCACAACCTTCACTCAGCAACAAAGATCAGTCTTAAAACTAAAAAATAATAATAATGTGGCATTTATCAAGTTAATTTATCTATTTTTGGCCGTATCGTCCACCCCTACTGAGATATATGCAGCTAAGTTATTCTCATTGCCTGTTCTTTTCTCAATCAATCATTTAGACGTAGTGGCGGATGCATGTTATAATTTCTCACAGTCCAAGGTGATTTTCCAACCAGCAGTCTAAATAAACCGATCAAATTCAGTTTACAGTGGTGTGAAACAGATAAACCATCATTTGATTATCAAAAAATAGCTTGCGATGGATTTTCTGACAAGTTTTGGATCATTGCAGCTCGTAGGAGGTCATGAATATGTCAAAAATATGGATCTGACAAAGATGCATGTATTTTTGATCGGTCAGTTTGGTTTCTATGATGGACTGTCACAACATTTTTAGACTTACACTGCAGCTAACTATTATGAGCTGTCCAAAATTTGGGGAAATTATAAATTAACAAGTAGTCAGGTAGAGGCCATGACACTGTGTACTTCATATAATAACATTAAATTAAATTGAAATAGGTTCAGTCAGTGTATATCATTTTAAAGTAACCCAGGCAATAGTACATGTTAATAATACTATGCAACATACAGAGTTAAATTATTCACTAGTATACAAAGAAAGGATTGCATCTGTTTTGGCTAATCCAGTAAATTAGATATTGAAAAACACATGTACATACTCACTGATTTTCAAAATCACCTCAGCATCTAATGCACCAAGAAATGATAAATTAATGTTATTGACAAACTGATATTATCTCCTGGTATAAACTATCATATAAGAGGAAAATAATAATTCCCTGTACAATCAGCCTAAATGCAAATGTCTGACTTTTACTCAACATCACTCAGCTCTGCTGTAAATAGAAACACATCTTAAAATAGCCCCACTGACACCGGTGACACAGAGTGACGGTTCGTAGACGTTCAGTGTGAGATGTTTGAGGCCTGCAGGAGTCGACAGCGTTGTCTGAACATTTTGTGTTTGTGTTCTCGCAGAAAAACCCAAGTTGCCAGAGAACTACACACAGGAGACCTGGCAGAAGCTGAAGGAGGCAGTAGAGGCCATACAGAACAGCACTTCAATCAAGTACAACCTAGAGGAGCTCTACCAGGTATTTCTGCAGCACGCTCGTCCGTGGGTCACGTTCGTATCTTTCACTGATGTATTTTCTCGTCCTCTCAGGCTGTGGAGAACCTGTGCTCCCATAAGATTTCTGCCAAGCTTTACAAACAGCTGAGGGCCGTGTGTGAAGACCACATCAAGGCACAGATCGAACAGTTCAGAGAATATCCTTTACTCTTTCAGTTCATCCCTAGATTCAGTCACTGGGTCGTAACAGATGTTTATTTATTTTTGTCAACGGCTGATCATTCACGAGATCTTTTGTCTTAACGTCACTCTCACGGATGCCCTGGACAGCGTGCTGTTCCTCAAGAAAATCGACAAGTGCTGGCAAGATCACTGCAGACAAATGGTGAGTTGTTTAACCTCAGTAAGGCGAGTGGTAGTTCGTAGCCGTATCTGTTAACATAACGTCACTTTCCATGCAGTTTGTTTGTGACTTACTTTTCATGTTTAAAGGGGTATTCCAACGATGTTACTTCATGAGAGACATGATGAGGGAACAGTCAAAATAAAAGTAGCAGGAGCCGAGTTATTCTCACTTCAAGTCCCTGGTTTTTTAAACATGCTCAGTAGATTCGGTCATTAGATCTGATACATACAACAAACTTCACCATGTTGGATGTTGACGAGCCAGTGACGTTCTGTTTGTGATGCATTTAGAAACATCTCAGCCACATCTGCTGCCCATCATATAATACAGTGAGACTCACTGTAGAGTGTACATGATTGAAGAGAAGATGGACAGTTGGAGAATTGCATCAGCATCTTGTTAGACAGCGATTCCCCCGTCACTGGCAGAAAGAAAGACATTTTATTCCAAAATAAATCAATGTCAGCGTGAATATTTGGAATTTGATCTGTCAGCAGCTCGATACCTGACGTGACTGCTCCTGTGTGTAACTCAGGCTCTCTGTTAAATAAGTCAGGGTTTCTTTCTCTAAAAGCTCCCAGACGGGAGTTGTCACTATTTCTCCCTGTGACATGTAAACTGAGCTTGATATGTAAAATCTGTGGAGTACCCCTTTAAATGAAACAAGAAGATGCAGAAGAAGAACGTCAGTGGTGTTTCCTGCTCATTTTGAATGTTTGTCGTTGTTTCACAGATCATGATTAGGAGTATATTTTTGTTTTTGGACCGCACCTATGTTTTACAAAACTCAATGCTGCCATCAATCTGGTGAGTGAGTGATCCCTGGTGTTAATTCTTGTCTAATAGTAAGAGTCAGACTTCTGCTGAAGCAGGTGTTGAACAGGCTCATGTGCTCCGCAGGGACATGGGTCTGGAGCTGTTCAGGTTCTACATCATCAGTGATCTGAAGGTCCAGAGTAAAACCATTGACGGGATTCTGCTGCTCATTGAGAGGGAACGAAATGGAGAGGCGATAGACCGGAGTCTGCTGAGGAGCCTGCTGAGCATGCTCTCTGACCTGCAGGTATCTGACAGTGGACCATCACATTCTTATCCCAACTAGGATTCAGACGTTAGTTAATGAATCAGTTACTTTAAAAGCTTCGATCACTTTGGTTTCATCTTTGTCCTGTAGAAAGGTGAGGTTATGGCAGCTGTGTAGTTGGTGATGATCACCTGTGTGCAGCATGTGATGTTCTGTCAGCTTTCTGTTGAAAAATGGATCTAATGAAGCTCGTTCTTTTTGTCGTTGACAGATTTATCAAGACTCCTTTGAGCAGCGCTTTTTGGAAGAAACTAATCGCCTGTACTCTGCAGAGGGACAGAGGCTGATGCAGGAGAGAGAGGTGATATATGTGTCCCTGATACCCTGCGACACTTTGTTTTTAGCTGGTCGAAAAAAAGATTTCAGTCACAACTTTGCAAACTTGAGACAACTTGATTGTCTTTCATGACTCGAGCAGGAACAGCGAATCGACAGAAAATGAATCGCCAACTGTTCTGATAATTGATTAATCTTTTCAAGCTAATTTCAGGCTCTCAAACATGATGATTTGAAGCCTTCTTTTGTTGTAAATTTTTTTAAACTGAATTTATTTGGCTTTAGTCTGAGAACCTCAAAATGAAAGAGCAACAACTCAGCATGTTGTCATTATGTTGAAAAATATAGATTCCAACCACATAAATGTTTCATAGAAGAGGGAAAAAACAAACGTATCCACTGCTCATAAGGTTTTATTTTTCCAAAAATGTTTTACTTGATTAAAACAAGCATAGAAAAACATTCAGCTAGCTTTGTTTACTCACTGATGCACCAAACTGAGACATATTTGACTCTTTGGTTTTGATCCAAGACTTGACACCTCAGAGTTTGATGTTTTCCCTGCAGGCTGTAAAAAAGTGTTTGTGATGTTTGCGAAGCATGATGGGGAATAAATGTTTGAGATACAGTGTATTAAGATTTAATTTATGTTTACACATGCAAATGAACAGCTCATTAAATATTAGTTCCAATATGTAAAATACACAGCATGACTTTAGTTTATCCAAGGAAAGGAGACAGGCTGAGCTAGTACCA